GGAGCGGCGAGCCGCCAGCCGGGGCCGCTGGTGTCGGCTACACTGGGGCCGCCGGTCTTGCGTCCCGTGCTATTGCGCCATGAAAAAGACTGGAGGCGCGAGATCAGTTATGACCGAAATTTCTATGCTATTTGATCTTGAGCACCGTCATGAACAACAGTGCCCCTTTGCCATTTGGCAATGTTTTACAGAACCGTTTTGGTTTGAGTTATCCCGAGTTATCACAATTATACAATTCATTGATATGAACGGTTTTCATCGATCATCGTGTTTCTCTCCCTCGTCTCCAAAAGTTTGTTGCTCCAGGTCTATATGCCTCTTCTTGGCAAGCCATCCACCGAAAGGCAAAATTTTCCCCCTCTGCGTCCCGGCTCCTCGCAATCCAATCCACATCTCGCCCAGAACCCTCACACAAAGCTCTCGCACAGAGCCATTGCACAGATCCCTCCCACAGAGACCCCGCACAGAGCTGACCAGCGAGCTGGGGAGCGCAGAGGCGATGTCAGCAACATCTGTCTGATACGTGATGGTACACTGACGCGCATGGCTTTGTCGCGCAGAGCCACGGTACCGGCGCCGCAATACGGTCGACTCTCTGTGTGGGTGATAGCTGCTGCGTGCCGTCCCTGCCGCGCTCCTGGCGCCGCCCCTGGCCACGTGCCGGCCGCTCGTCGTGTGGACCAGTCACGCGACGGCTCGGCGGCGCCGGAAGCCGGCTGTCGGATGTGCAGCCTGCCTCGCAATGGGCTCAGTTTTTGTCGGCGCGCAAGCGGCCGCAGATGACGGTCCCACTGACGCCACATGATGACGTCACTCGGTCAAACGGCAACGCGCCGTCGTCCTCCCCCGCGGCCACCAGCGTGAAGGGTGTGATGTGGTCGCACATGCTGACCGTCTGCAGTGCAGTCGAGAGCCGTCCCACCGTCGGATGCCCAACGGTCATCGGTCGCCGCGGGCCGGTCTGTCCATCCCTCTCGCTCGCAGCGGTCGTCGGCCGGCGCCGTTCTCGCCGCCCGACGGTCAGTCTGCTCTCCCCCTCCCCACCACACTGGCTGGTGTTGCGCTCTTGAGACATCAGGGCCCGGCTCCGACACTGTTTTCTTCTTGGCCATGTTCACGGCAGTGTCGCCTCGCTGGTGGTTGAATGATGGGGAGCGGACCGCGCTGGTGGTTGAATGATGGGGAGCGGACCGCGCTCGCCCGCCCGCCCGGGATCCCGGCTGACGCCCTCGCCCCCACGGCCCCCCCCCCCCCCTCCGCATTCATCGGCTCAGCTGGCATGCCCAGCTCCGATCTGATCCCAGCACGCCTGAGCAGGGGCCGCGGCCGGTCCGTCTCTTATAGACGCAGACGCAGACGCAGACGCAGACGCAGACGCAGGTGCACGCGCGCACGGGTCGAATACAGGCTGTACGCGCAAGCGTTGTATGATATTAGGTTAATCTTTCTCTTATTTTTTTTTGCTTTTTCCTCTGATTGTCTGAGTTTCTCAATCCTCTGATCCTCCCTATGGCTTACTAGTCCTCGCATCCCACGGCGTTGGACGAGGCGTGCAGAGTTTGGTTTGGTTTCCATGGCGACCAGCATGAGCGGCGTAACCACGAGCACCGCGGCCTCGCCGTCGATGCTGAGCTGACCACAGCAGAAACCAGGCCAGCCAAAACAGCGGCTTGGGCTCCCCTAGAGAATGTTTACTTGCTTCGAGCATGGAAGACTGGGCATGTCGCCTGAGTCATGTGATGACGTCACCCCTCACTCCTCTTTTCAAATGCGTCATGCTTGTCATTACGATTTCATTTAAATGGTAGGATGTGACAATCCAGATTTAAATCAAAGCAGAGAGATGAATAGCAATGTTGCACAAAATTGCTATCCTGACCAGGACTAGGGGAGCGGTGCCTTTGACGTGACGTCATCGTATGACGTCAGCGTACGCTGCAGCCGGTCGGAAGTGGTGGTAATTGGTGGGAAAGACAGCAGTCTCTGGTTTCCGGCGGCCGCGGGCTAGCCGGAATGTTTCCGCCGACACTGGCGTGTTTGCGGTTCTGCGGATTCAGCGACGTCGGTGTTTTTAACGCACCCTGCGAAAAGCTCCGGCTCGGTCCGCGCAGCGAACAACCGTCGTTTAAAGCACAATACACGCCATTTGAGAGGATTGTCACAGCGAATATCGCGCTTATCTTTGTACTACAGTGCAGGGCTCCCCAGACCCCAGCGATAACCCGAGCGCTGATGGGAGCGCCATCTCCAGGTGAAGTTATGGGTGCCCCTCCTCTAAACACGGCTCCTCACCCGTCCACGTCAGTTGGGAGCTCAAGTATCACTTAAAAGTCCTCGTGACGGGCGACCGCTCTCCACTGGTCATTCCGCGCGTGGTGCCTGAGCTCGAACGTGCTGGGCGGCCGAAGGTAACGGGGCCCCCTCAAATGGTGGTGGCGAGCGGGACGCCCGTCTTCTCCGCAGCGCCCCCTCCCCCTCCCCCCAGTCCCACGCCTGTTATCACTTGGTGAGTCTTGATGTCTCTCTTTTCTTGTGATGGGACCACCGGTCCACGCCAATACAGCTTCTCGCCGAACATGCTCTCACACGGAAGCTGCAAAAAAACGTACAGCTCCCCCGTCCAATGAAAGCAGAAAGAAAGGCATGGTGTTGCAGACCGGCTCGGTAGCTAAGCCCATTTGCGACAGCGAGTTTGATGAAAATCAGTTTTGAAAAATCGAACAATGCAGACTGATGTCAGGTGCAAACCAGCATTGGACCGTACGTGTGTCTCGTGCCACAGTGGCAAGAACATGCAGCGCCTGAAGCGGCCAAAAAGCTCCTTCTGCCCGTTGAAAACCGTCATACCGTCCAACCTCGCTGCCAAGTGAGGACGGTGCAGCAATCGATGGTGCGTCAGTGCTGGCTAGTTGGTGGGCAGTACAATGGACAGTGTGAGTAAGTTATGCTATTGCTGGGAGCAGTACGTCGACAGTAGCCACCGATCTCGTTAGTGACGTCAATGCATCAGGTCATGGTCGCCGATCTCAGTGTAAAGTATTCAGCGACCGTCGTCAGGGTGCGCTGAGGGGTGAAAATGCGGCGCAAAACTGCAAGCCCCGAAAAGGAGTTGAAAATGAGTTGCCTTGAACTCTGATCTGATATTTTTTATTTGAGTAGTGTCGTGTTTAGCGGTTTTGGAGCGTCACATTGCTCCACTATTTTCATCATTAGTAGTGCCGTGTTTAGCGGTTTTGGAACGTCACATTGCTCCACTTTTTTCATCGTTAGTAGTGATGTGTTTAGTGGTTTTGGAGCGTCGTACAGCGCCGGGCAGACCGATCGCACGTAACAAATCCTGTCGAATGACACGACGACCAGCGACCTATTTGTTCAGCTGTGGACTGTTCGCTTGTCACAGCTCACCTGTTTGTCGAACTGTGAATTGTTTTACCGTTTGTTGGGCTGACCTATGCTGGATTAGGAGGTGCGATTGTAGACATGAATATTGGAAAGCCATCAGGAAAGTAGGATCGTAATTGGAGGTGAAACTTGATAATTTGAAAGCTGCCATGGCAAGATTACAACACAATGTACAAGATTGAGACTGACTTTCAATAATAATATTGAATGCTTACGAACTGCTCGTCATTTAGAAGTTTTCTGTCAAATATGAACTTAGAATTCTGGCATTTATTCTCCCTGGTGTCGGCTGCTTGTTGTTTGACTCAACACAGTTGAATGAAAAAAGAAAACGGCAGAGTGAGGACATTGCCTCGACCTCACATCGTAGAGCGTTATGACAGCATATGCAACGTACGAGCAAGAATACCGTGCATTCAAAGAGGGGCAAGCCAGTTTCGTAGCACACGACAGACGGGAGTGTATCTAAACACGGATTACACGGGAACACGGATCCGAACACGGGAACACGGATCTGAACACGGGTCTGCATCACGACAACCAAAGGTGCAGCCGCTGCAGCCGCCGTCGCCGCTGCCGCCGCTGCTGCTGCCGCGTGACAAAAAAACCTCCCGCCAATATGCTTCCATTCCGCTCGCGCATGCGTCACGTGCCGGGTGTTCTCTTCTGGCTCCGCCGTTCTGAAGAGCGCAGTCCAGAGCATCGAGACGCCATCAACGGTCGCAGGGTTACGTGTTCGCACAGGGCGGATGGATTTACCAGAAACTGAGCGTTGGCCATATAACTGCTAATGACCAATGCAATAAATGCGCATGGATCTGCAGCCAGGTCATCCTGCACGGTTGATCGTCGTTTGCGTGACCGTGTGGTGTGGTGCCAACAAGTGACCTGGTGTGGTGACCTTTAGAAGACCCCCGGCCAGAGAGTGGCCGCCGAGCCGTGCGCTGCGGTCGCGCGGAGCGGCGGGGGCGGCGGGCCAGCGCGGCGCCGCTGCCGGCCCGCGCCCCACACTTCCGGCGCGTCGCCTCGGCCGCCACTTCCGGTGGCGTCGGGCCGGACGGCGCAGCAGCGGCGCCGAGCCTCCTGAGCGCCCCTGGCGGCCGCGAACAGCGGCCGGTCCGGCAGCCGCCGGTTCAGTCTCCGGCCGCGAGAGGCGCTGCTGGCATGATGTTGCCGTAGGGAGAAAGCGGGTGTCGAAAGATGGACGGTGGGGAAGGACCAGATCCTGGATTCCATAGTGGTCCATGCTCATGTGACCTCGAGTTTTAGGCTTTAGGAACATGTTTGCTTATGGGCATTTACTTTTTGATTAAACAAATATTTCGTCGCGATGTTAAACACTTGTAGGTTTCACGTCTTGTGGCTCCTTCCCATCCTATACTTAATTCCCGCTTGATTGAATCCTGGCAATGTCGGTATGTCTTTCGACCATTTGCACACATTTTCGGTGCCATGGCAATGCCTCGTGCGTGGACGGTGTCACAACTCCCCAAATGTGGACGCTCAGAGCTCAAACATTTAAGACAGCAGACGCTCACAAACTCCTGCACGGCTTGATCACGGCGGAATGTAACGTGCACGTTTTGTCTTGATTTCAGGTAGATGCCCCCCTCAGAGGGGTGGCAAGAGCACCAATCACGCACTCACCGAGGACGGTAAGAGAGCACCGCCCCACACCGCACCGCCCTCCCCCTCCTCCCTCCCTGCGTGATCCCGTGATCTGCTGTGCCGCCTCCCCGCTCCGCCCGGTGTTCGGAGCACGGGCGAGAGCTGGTGCTCACGCTGAGTGAGCTGAGTGAGCTCACCAGCGGCACTTACACCCGCTTACTGGTCAGCTGATACTTCGCGATGTGAAGACCTAACCATTAGTGCACCCCTCGTGCACCGTCAGTGCACGACGGCTTTCGCAGACGAGTTCAGCTGATACCTAGAACAAAGCCGTGTAACACCACGTGATGTCGGTGTCTCCGTCGGATTCAGTTGCTGAAAACTGGTGACGATTCGTCGCACGGCGTTTCCTCGCGGTAAAATGCACGGTTGCAAGTTACAAAACATAAATAAAAGACTGCGGGTCCTGACAAGGAAGATTTGACGCCGTTGACCTTTGCCACCGTCAGGTCACGGCGGGGTGAACCAGCTGGGGGGCGTGTTCGTCAACGGCCGGCCGCTGCCGGACATGGTGCGCCACAAGATCGTCGAACTGGCTCACAACGGCGTGCGCGCCTGCGACATCTCGCGCCAGCTGCGTGTCAGCCACGGCTGCGTCAGCAAGATCCTCTCCAGGTGAGTCGCCCGCACCCGCCGCCACCCGCCGCTCGCTCACACCGCCACCCGCCGCTCGCTCACACCGCCACCCGTCGCTCGCTCACACCGCCACCCGCCGCTCGCTCACACCGCCACCCGTCGCTCGCTCACACCGCCACCCGCCGCTCGCTCACACCGCCACCCGCCGCTCGCTCACACCGCCACCCGTCGCTCGCTCACACCGCCACCCGCCGCTCGCAGCCACCACCGGCTGCAGATCCCTGAAACTGGAACGCGAAGCACAGCAATGACGGCTGTCGTCATATATTTTTAAAAAACAAGCCGATAGGTATGCTGCCTTGCGTGGCTCATGATGATATTTCCATCACGGATCATGGATCACGTTGTCACACGGCAAGAAATTGTGTATGTCTGATCAGCCCTCTTAAAATGAACCATTGTTCAGCTTCGAGCGGGCGATAAAAGCCACCTCCTGGCAACATGTATATTGCTTCGCGTCAAACTGGGGAGGAGGAGGGGATGTTGAAAGTGACAAGTAAGTGACGCATACTGCACTGACTGCACGTCACTGACCGCGTCGTGCCGTTTCGAGCGCAAGCGACCTCAGCTCGGAGCTAACGTTAATCCATAGTATCACAACGCGAAGGAGAGCACACCAGGCGATACAATGCCGCCGCGGGCAGGGAGTCGTCGCGGATGTTCAGAGCGGTGGCTCGAGTCAGCGCTCGACGGCGGGCTGCAGCCTGACCCCTGACCCCGACGTCCGCCCCGGCAGGTACTTCGAGACGGGCAGCTTCAAGGCGGGGGTCATCGGCGGCAGCAAGCCCAAGGTGGCCACGCCGCACGTGGTGGACGCCATCGCCAAGTACAAGCGGGAGAACCCGACCATGTTCGCCTGGGAGATCCGCGACCGGCTGCTGGCCGAGAACGTTTGCAACCAGGAGAACGTGCCGTCTGTCTCCAGCATTAACAGGTAAAGGGAGGACGTGAACGTCTATCTCTAGCATTAACATGCAGCGGAATGTATGCGAGCGAGCAACAGCATCGGCAAGCGGAAGCGGGACGACGGTGAGGGACGCGCCGGGCCGGCGGCGCGCTCGGCGGGGAGGGGCGGGGCGCCGGTCACGCAGTGGGCGGGTGGTAGGGATGTGGTCACCGGGCACTCCCATGAGGAGGGGGGGGGGGCGGATCACATCTTTGGTGTGTGGTTCCTGCATGTGAACAGCCGTCTGAGCGACAACACTTGGAGGCGACGTTGAGTTGGGTTTGGTGCGGATTATAACTCCACTATCCATGGCGCTGTCGCCGACAGCGGAGGGACGTGAGAAACGCCAGGGGCGCCAGAGTGACACCGGCGCAATGTCAATGACGCCATCAACACCAGACCAATGCTAGGGAAATCAGTGAAGCCTCCCACGGAAGCCATGTACAGAAGCCGTCCGCACCAGTGACGTCATACCCTCTGCGGCCGGCAGAATCGTGCGCAACAAGGCGGCGGACAAGGTACGGGGCTGCCACGGCCCGATGGGCGACGGAGGCGGCTCGCCGGCCGGCCAGGCCACCCCGGTCATCACGCACGCGCCGCCGGCCGACTCCCGCGACCCGCGGCCCAGCTACAGCATCAGCGGCATCCTCGGCCTGGCGGGGCACGACCCCAACGGCAACAGCATCGGCAAGCGGAAGCGGGACGACGGTGAGGGACGCGCCGGACCGGCGGCGCGCTCGGCGGGGAGGGGCGGGGCGCCGGTCACGCAGTGAGCGGGTGGTAGGGGAGTGGTCACCGGGTACTCCCATGAGGAGGGGGGGGGGGGGGGGCAGATCACATCTTTGGTGTGTGGTAGCTGCATGTGGACAGCCGTCTGAGCGACAACACTTGGAGGCGACGTTGAGTTGGGTTTGGTGCGGATTATTAACCTTTCGGCCAGTGCTATGCCAGTGCTACCTCAGGGCTATGTAGGGAAGGAGAGTGAACAATTGTGGGGCAAAGCTACACATGTGTGGGGGTCCCCGCCGTGACTTAGCCCACGCGGAGGCCGCTGTACGGGACACGCGCTCGGCCCTCGGACGTGGCCCCCACCGGGGGGCGCACGTGGGGCCACTCATGGCTCATGCATATAGCTTTCCTGGACAAACGGGACGTCGTGAGGTCTGTTGGGCGGAGCCGGGGGACGTCCAGGTGGCGGAAAGGCGAGGGGTGGGGAGGTCTGGCAGACACCAAACAGAGCAAACCGCACAGAGCCGCACAGAACCGCACAGAGCGAAAGAAAATGGCACGTTGGCTGTTGACAATATGCTTGTAGCTTGGATTATGTGATAGATCAACACGAGGCCAGTGAAATGAACAGGTTGGTGCCGAGGCACAGCAGTGTGTTCATGTAGTCTTACCAGCTGACTCGTGTAGTGCTTGAATGGTGATATATCACTTAAATCACTATCATGCAAGCGTGATGTTTGTCTGGTGTTTGATGCTTATTTTCGATTATGGACATAAAGCAGTACATAATATGATGAGTGGATTGGCGCATAAGCGGAAGTGATCACCCACGATCTCACGCAATCAATCATGATCAATGTCATGCGCCCGCAGACGAAGAGCAGAGGCGAATGCTCGATGACTACTATCAATCGCGCCAGGGTAAGTGCTGCGAAGGCATCCGCTTTATTTCTGATTCTTCCGGCAATGTCTGGCATCACCAGGCGTGGCCGATTTTGTTGTAGAACGTACCGCTAGAAGAACTTTTTGGTGGAATAATTACCTAACACTGCTTTTTGACTGTACAAAAACCCACAGTGAAATTTGCCACAATGCCAGCTCAAGCTCTCAGCAGTTGATGCAACTTTGAGCTGCTCTAGCTTACCGATATAACGAGGCCTGAGCTGACCTGTGCTGTTCTGGGCCGGTGGCCTCTGGTCTATGCTGGTATAACCTGTCACTGTAGTTCGCTCTGAACTAACGTGTCAGGGCTAGCCTCAGACGTTTGTGACCTGACCTGACCCTGACAGTGCTGCAGACGTTTTTGACCTGACCTGACCTTGCCAATGCTGCAGACGTTTGTGACCCGACCTGACCTTGCCGGTGCTGCAGATGTTTGTGACCTGACCTGACCCTGCCGGTGCTGCAGACGTTTGTGACCTGATCTGACCTTGCCAGCGCTGCAGACGTTTGCGACCTACCCTGACCCTGCCGGAGCCACGGTTAGCCTCAGGTGTTTGCAACCTGACTTGACCCTGCCGGTGTTATGGCTAACCTAAAGTGTTAGTGACCTGACCTGACCTTGCCGGTGCTGCAGACGTTCGTGACCTGGCGTCGCCGGCCGAGGAGGAGATGCGCCGCCAGCGGCTACAGTACCCGGCCGACCAGCTCAACTATTCAGGCGTAAGTGACCGAACCGCACCGGACCGGACCGGACCGGACCGGACCCAATGCCGAACCGAACCGAATCGAACCGACCCGAACCGAACCGAACCAAACCGAACCGAACCGAACCGAACCGAACCGAACCGACCCGAACCGAACCAAGCCGGACCGGACCGGACCGGACCGGACCGGACCGGACCGGAAGGCCCGGGTCCGACGCCGAGCCGACTCGGTGAACCAGAGTGACCGGCCGGCCACCAGGGAACACCGGACAGCCTGTTGCTGGTGGGGTCGGTGGTCAGCTGACGCGCTGCGCTTCCTCTTCCTAGCTCAGCGCTTGTCCTCCCCGCCGCCAAATGTTTAGCCGGCGATGATTACGAGAGAAAAGTCATGGATGTTACGTCTCTCATGAGGTTACAAGCACATGTGTGCGGGCGCCGTTCAATGCGCCGTGTGTTCGCATTGGATTGAGGACAAACATAAAAATGAGCTGCGGGTCCTCATGTGGCCAGCTGATGTCGATTGCTCCATCCTCTTCATGGCGCTTTTTCCGCCCCCCCCCCCACACATCATTATCTCGCACGTTGCGAGCTGTGTTGCGACGAGCAATGCGACGAGCAATACAGGCCACGACAATTGGGTAGCCGATGGCATTCATCTTGCAGTTGTAACAAATGACTGAGATTTGACATTCAGATTGCGGATGGAGTGATCGTTCAGAACAGCGTCTTCGTTTGGTATGCTGGTACGCATACAGTGTTAATAGTAGCACGTATGGATACAAACATCCCACGTGACCAACGAGGACGATATCCCGAATTTACTTTCGTTATCCAGTGCCATTTCTTCCCAGACGTTCGTGATGCAGTTGGTGGTGGTGCTGGCGGTAGCCTCTCCCTCCTCTGTCAGTAGCTAAGGTAGCCTCGCTCACCTCTCTTACGCTGCTCTGCCGTCCCTGCAGCTGTCATGGCCGAAGCCGTGGGTGAAGGACGAGGCTGCCAAGACAGGCTCGCTGTCCGACATCGCCGGGTCCGGCATCGGCTTCAGCTTCGGCGGCGAACAGCCGACTTTCGGGGCCGCGCCAGGGTTGCCCTCGCCCCTGGAGGCGCCGTATGACCTCGGCCTGCACCAGCCGCCGCAGGGCTACCCCCAGGGCCTGACCTCCGCGCTAGGTCAGTGTCAGCCGCCGCAGGGTCACTAAAATGGCTTGGTCTCCGTACTGGCAGCCTTGTCGCCGTAGGGCTGCTATGCTTTCGTAACGTTTGAAAGATGCCAAAGGGCGTTCACATTACATGCTTCATTTTCAGACTGGATCTCACAATGCCCCGAGGGCTTGTTTGGTTCACCCTGTGCGTGTGCTCTTGCTCCGGGGGTGTGCTCAGCTCACTCTGTGCCTGTGCTCTTGCTACGAAGGCTTGTTTAGCTCACTCTACGCGTGTGCTCTTGCTCTGAGAGCTTGTCTGGTTCACTCTGTGCGCGGGCTACCGCTTGGAGGGTTTGTTGAATTCACTCTGTGTGTTCTCTTGCCCTGAGGATTTGTTTAGTCCACTCTGTGCGTGTGCCCTTGCCTAGAGGATTTTGTTTAGCTTCCTTTATGCGTGTGTTTTTTGCTCCGGAGCTTGGTAAGCTCACTCTGCGTGTGCTCTTGCCTAGAGGGTTTTGTTTAGCTCCTTTTGTGCGTGTTTTTTTTTTGCTCCGGGGCCTGTTAAGCTCACTCTGCGTATGCTCTTGCCTAGGGGGTTTTGTTTAGCTCCCTTTGTGTGTGTGTTTTTTGCTCCGGGGCTTGTTAAGCTCACTCTGCGTGTGCTCTTGCCTAGGGGGTTTTGTTTAACTCCCTTTGTGCGTGTCTTTTGCTCCGGGGCTTGTTAAGCTCACTCTGTGTGTGCTCTTGCCTAGGGGGTTTAGTTTAGCTCCCTTTGTCTGTGTGTTTTTTGCTCCGGGGCTTGTCAAGCTCTCTCTGCGTGTGCTCTTGCCTAGGGGGTTTTGTTTAACTCCCTTTGTGCGGGTGTTTTTTGCTCCGGGGCTTGTTAAGCTCACTCTGCGTGTGCTCTTGCCTAGGGGTTTTGTTTAGCTCCCTTTGTGCGTGTGTTTTTTGCTCCGGGGTTTGGTAAGCTCACTCTGCGTGTGCTCTCAAATCTGTTCTCATACGCTGACGATGCTATCTGCCCAGGTACGCCTGCTGGCCTCACTCCTCTGGCGCCGATCTCGCTCGCCGACACCAAACCGACATTAGGCTCAGCAGCGCCTCTACCGGACGGCCTGGAAAACTACCAGCAAGGTAGGTTGCCGCTAGATGGGTCTGTGTTCTGCACTGAGCATGACTGGCGGGGAAAAGCACCGCATGGCACACTGCACCAGCTTAAGGACGCGTGCCGAGAGGAAGGCTGAACATGGTTGGGGCAGCCAAAGAAACATATTTGAGATTAAGTGCGGAAGAATCTTCGGCATGTTGCCCTGATCCGTTTAGTGCCCCCCCCCCCCCCCCCCCCATTTTACCAGGAATGTTGTCTTGACGTTGTAGGTTGCGGCATTGCCACATTTTAGCTTATCATTCATTCATAGTCATTTTAGCTTATAGCGCTACTGCCAAAGACAAAGCGCAAGAACGGTAAAATCTTTCGGGGGATTGAAAACCTCCTCGTAGGCACCACAATTCTCTGCTCGTTCTGAAAAATAGGTAAGCTCTTTGCAAGACATATCTCCTTAATTCGATAGATGAATGAATAAAGCGTGGTCGATAGAGCACATGTGTGGCAGGGCCAGGGCTCACACAAGAAGTGTGAGGGCGGGTCCCAAGAATCTATTCGATCAAAAGATGTGGGTTAAAATAGTTAAAGAACCAAACGGCACAAGACCTATGCATGCATCTGCTAATGACAAGACGAGCAAAAACCAGTTTCAGAAGTCACGTGCAATGGCAAACGACAAATTTAATTCGCTTAGCACAATGCAGGGTGATTATGCAACGGCAGAAGTCATTGTTTCACTCGAAATTAATTTACGGTTCGCATTGGCAAATGAGCGTCTCCGAAGGCTTGGTGCCTTGGCATCCACCCCCTCCCCTGTTCCTGCAACCATGACAATGCATACCTAGCTGTTCAAAGCAATTAATACCGTTAACCAAGTTGTTTGTCGGGAAAAATTGCTCTTGCAATCATGACCTCTTTTGGATTATTTGCATCTTTGTGAGCGCAGCGTCAGTTGCACATGCCATCATTTTAATGAACCACGGTTCTGAGCATTCGACAAGCTGTTTATATTTATAAGGTGCTTGTCCAAGCATTTCCTCATCGACAAGCACTGAAAGCACTGTTTCTCTGCACTCCCTACAGATGGCAGTACCTGTGGGTACGTCCGACTCTCGCCGTCCCCTCCACTGGATGTCAGTGCCTCGTTCCTGACGCTCACGCCTCCTGCGTCCGTTGACCGCTTCCCACTAAACACCCATTCGCCAGCTGGGATCCAGCACCCAGTGTGCACCCTTCAGTCAACGGGCACTGCCCAGCCAGATGACAGCCGTCTGCCGGCGAGCCCCGACAGCACCCCTCGCTGGGCGACCTCCTTGTGTTCAGCCTCCCATTCCTTATGCAGCCCGCGCGCCGCGCCGACCGATGACGTCATTGGTGCGAAAGCCAGTGACGTCACAGGAGTGCTGCGGCTGGTGGCGCCGCTGTCATGCCGCTCTCCCGGCGCCTCCCTCTCCCCTGGTCCTCTGCCCGGTGACGTAGGCCTTCCTGTGCTCACCTTCTCCCGACCCGTGCTCGCACCGCGCGCTGACCCCGCGCCGCGTGACGTCAGGATGACGTCGTCAGTCGACGGGGACACGGAGCGGGACGGTGAGTGGCGCAGCAGGGCGAACGCGAGGCTCCGCTTCTTAAGTCAGCACCAGGGTCTTTTGGACACTGTCTTGCATGGAATGGAGCATGCGTGACGCGGTATGACTGTGATGCTGCACGAATGAAGCCGTTAGCTGAAGGGCATACGTTACGTGTGCGTCGTGCCCCAATATTAGTCCCAGAAACTGTACAAATCTGGCGTGTGGTGGTTGGTCGTCGGTGGTACGTCACCTTAATGAGCCCTTCCAGTGGACCATTATGTGCAACGAACGCTGCCTCGCCGTTACTGATAGTGGAAAGTCACTGGCCCACCTTGACTAGCGCGTCACAGGCTATCAGGATAAATCTCCGGCTGGTATTCTAGCATGCACCGCAGAACACGGCGGCTGCCGTCCGGTTGGCGCGAAAATGCATCGTTCTGACGTCATTCAGTGCCGCCAGCAGGGCGACGCAGCCAAATCGTGGTGGTCGCTTGGGTCGGGACCGGCTGACCTTGACCTTAATCTGACCTGATCTTGCCGTCCAACGGCTGACCGGGTGCGCCCTCGTCTGTCTGCAGGGCCCGTCTCCATGGCCGACTACGGCTCCCACTACGCGTATCCGCAGCACGCCGCCTACGGCTACAGCTACAGCTCCCCCGGCGGCCTGCTGAGCAAGTGACACCCGTGAGTGGTCTTCCGAGGAAGGCGCAACCGTCCCTGGCCTGCACGCTTACCCGCTGACACCTACAGAACGCACATAACATACATATATATATATATATATATATATATATATATATATATATATATATAATACACAGATATACACGATGGTGGCGTGCGGTGCCGAGGGTCGTTTGCAGGACAGACGGGTCTCGGTTTCGTCACTGCTCGTTGTGTGTGGCGAGGGCGATGGCGGCGCTCTTAGCCGAGTCACGCCTCGTGCGATGACCTCGGCATCAGTGATGACGAATTTCGCCCTTCATGGCATGAACACATCCAAATGTATCCGCAGTGTGAACTGTCTTTCGGCGCATCACCCACGGTGCCAAGCGCAGGAGATGGCCAGCTGGCTGCTCACAGGAATGGCCGGCTTAAAAAGTATTAAGAAAGGAAGGAACATGCGCCAAAAATGGAAGATACGCCAAGTTGCTGGCTGGCGTCATGGGTCATCTCCCCGATGCTGGCAAAGTTCAGAGTTGAAAGATGAACACCATTTACATTATAACCCGCAGGGCGCACTGCATCCAACCGACGTATTGTTGATGCCGCAAGTTGGGATGATGTAAAACTTAAAAACCGAGATCTCTGACTCGTGAGTGGAGTCAAGAAACGCAAGCTTCATTTTTTGGATAACTGGAGTCTCCTCGTTTCAGGTGCTCGTTTTTCGAGCAGTGTGGCGGCGCCATCTTGACTGGGGAGATCAGCCGTCTGTGCAGCGGGCTTCTGCGCAGTCAGTGTCGGCGCAGTCGACGCCTGCGCAGCGGGCGTCTGCGCAGTCAGTGTCGGCGCAGTCGGCGTCTGGGCCAGCGCCTGCGCAGCCGAATGCGCAGCTGGCTCCCGCGCAGCCCTCGCAAGATCAGACTAGGCGACAGCGCTAGTCAGCAGTGCTCCGGCCGCGGTCGGACCGCGGACCAGTCCGATCCACACGGATCTGGATAGGTCCGGTCCACACGGATCTGGATCAGTCCGATCCACACGGATCTGGATCAGTCCGATCCACACGGATCTGGATCAGTCCGGTCCACACGGATCTGGATAGGTCCTGTCCACACGGATCTGAATAGGTCCGGTCCACACGGATCTGAATCAGTCCAGTCCACACGGATCGGGATAGGGCTGGCTCTAGCTGGCGGTGGCGCGGTGCCCCGATCTCATACTGCAAGAGGGGACCAGACGTGGCCGCTGGCAAGACGCTCACACCTGCGTACAGCACACCAAAGATATCGAATCGCTCGCTGCTCCGCGTCCAGGTCACTGGCGTCCACTGTTTTCCGCCAGTGTGCGCTGACGGCAGTATGTGTGGTAGACTAGTAAGCACTTATGCTATTTACACCGGGTTGAGTGTGTACTGGGCTGGAGGAGGTCGGCAGTGATGTGCGGTCTTCTGTCGTAGTGTTCTCTGCCTTGAGCGGTGTCAAGCGGGCGTGTCGGGTCAGGCTAGAACATCAGCGCGTGGCTCTCGCCGCGCACTGCCCCAAGCTGAACCCCGACACCGATGGCGCAATTCCGGCCCGAGGGGCGGCACGGCTTCCCCGTCACTGTCTGGCCGGGCAGTGGCGGGCGCCGCGGCCTCGGCGGTGCGAGGTCAGGAGACGGCGCCGCGGCTGCTGCCCTGCCGCTGATCCGCTGCTATGGCCGGCCGCTGATCTGCTGCTATGGCCGGCCGCTGATCCGCGGCCATGGCCGGCCGCTGATCTGCGGCCATGGCTGGCCGCTGATCCGCGGCCATGGCCGGCCGCTGATCCGCGGCCATGGCCGGCTGCTGATCAGCTGCTATGGCCGGCCGCTGATCTGCGGCCATGCCCGGCTGTTGATCCGCTGCTATGGCCGGCCGCTGATCCGCTGCTATGGCCGGCCGCTGATCTGTTGCTATGGCCGGCCGCTAATCTGTTGCTATGGCCGGCCGCTAATCTGTTGCTATGGCCGGCCGCTGATCTGCGGCCATGGCCGGCCGCTGATCTGCTGCTATGGCCGAACGCTGATCTCCGGTCATGGCCGGCTGCTGATGCTGCTGATCTCCGGCCATGGTCGGTTCTCCAGCGCCGTGTGGCGCAGTGATGACCACGAGAGATTCGCGCCACGCCCGACCACTCTGGCCGAGAGCTAGCGATAGGTGTGTTCGTGCTTGATTTTGCACACGCGGGTTTCTCTGAGAGCTCTGACAACGTCACCCAAACGCCAGTAGTCATTTGCAGAGGAAGGCGCGGTTTTGGATTCGGTTTATCTGCTTTTTTAATCGAATGTTTGCAGTTATGCACAGGAAAGCTAGTGTTCGAGCGACGGCTTGTGAAATAAGCGTGATGCCTTACCGTACAACCTGCCGTGGTCACAGGCACAGCATGTCTTCCACCGTTGATATTTGAACGATGATTGTGGAGTGTGAATACATCATTCCAAGGTGAAGCAAGTAGCTTCGATTCGCATTCCAGCGCCGAACTGAATCGGCGTTCGAGCTCTGAGGATACGTGCACCAGACAAGCCAAATGCAAGACAAATGCAGCAGAAACAAGCTTTGATGTGTCTTGTTGGGGTCTTGCTGACAGTTCTGCGCACGGGCACACCGCATGCCGAGCGGAACACACTGCCGGCCCCTCAGACCTGCGGTAGGTACTGATACATATGTCGCTCCCATCGATCCGGCCGAGCTGGGCGGCACGAACGGCAGCCTCCAGCGCCCTCCGGGGCAGAGCACGTGACCGGCGCGTGGACCCCATACAGGTCCGGTCTGCTGCGCGTCACGAAGGCGGATGCGGTGTAACCCACTGCCGCGTCCATGGGTCATATTGACTGGTGGTTTGTGAGGGCTCACCCCGGTCTGCGACAGGTAAACGAAGAAGAATAGATCCTCACAGCGTGTGCTCGGAAGGCACCGTTTCGGAGCGTACGGCAGTGTAACCCGACAAACGGCCGGGATGAACATAAGCTGGGACGCATTTTAGCATGGTGTGCTGGAGCCTGAAGCTGTGACAGGTCAATGACCTGTCGCAGAATTTCAGGGACAGGGTCGAGTGGATGACCTCGGCGGCGCATGAACAGTTAGGTTCACACCCACGTGACGATTTGCAATGATTGTCGGACTGTCCAGGTACGTACCTACGTATTACTGAACTGAGCGATATTGAACTACTTTACTTTCAGCTTGGACCTTCATGTTTAGGTCTGAATTGCTAGTCATGAATACCCAATTCCATGGGCGAATCCAGAGGGGAGAACCATGTGCGGCCGCCGTAAACAATTAAGTTAAATGAAAAATGATCGATAAAATGATAATTAAGCATAGGAAACTACATCCCTGGTTAAGAGGTACAGTCACCCTTTGCCAAGTGAGTAGGAAACTACACGCCGCCTAGGCTTATTGTTGTTAAAGGAAGTGTTCCACATCTATATGGGGTTTTAAATGAAATAGCCATTTTGAAGTCCTTTCGGTGCTTTTCAAAATCCCGCTCTTCTTAAGACCTAAGCACCTCCAGTTTCTGAGCTTGACGCCCGCGACAATGTGCAAAGGTACACCGGGGAGAGTATTTCAGTCACCTTGGTATTCACGACGTCATAATAACGTCATTAAAATCCTGATATTTCATAAGCCATGCAGTAATCAACGCTAAGGAAAACCATTGTCGAGGTGTTAATATCTGACGTTGGTGAGTGCTTTTTCAAGATGTAACGGCCATTCATTGGCCCTCATTCGTCCTGTTTCACAAGGTACCATGACGTAATCCAACCATGGCGCACTGAGAAGCCTATTCACTAAACAGAAAACTGTGTTGTCTAGAACAGTTTTTCACATAAAAATATTCCAATGCCTGCAAGTCATCTTGTCAAAAATTTGCACTTAGCTGATGTCAGACCAAGTCTAGAGCATTGTGTACAGGCGAGACCTCAATGCTTTCAAAAATATATACATCGAATGGAAAGAGTGCTGCGAAAGGCAACTGGGCTGAAAATGGGACTGGCCACTTAGAACATAAGAGTAGGCTTGGGACCTTGGAGTTGTATTCACTGAAATACCATAAACTTACAGGGGATCTGATAAAGGTATGCAGATAGACAAGATAGATTTACATTGGGCACTGGAAATTTAGCCAAGAAATGGAGGAATGAGTTTCACTTATAAAAAGGTGGGAGTAGAACTATGAAGACGGAGATGCCATTTAGTCAAAGAGTAGTGAAGCGACGGAATGGGTTGACAAACGAAGTTGTAGGAAGTCCCTCTCCAGCAACATTAAAAAACCGTTTAGTGAAGCTCTATCGGTCTAAAGATCTCATTTACATCTAAATTCATGCTGGTCAGGTGTTAGATCAGTTTTAAGAGTGCGTGCGGAACCTGAGGAAGGCCAACCTTGATGAGTCCTTGTGTCTATTGGCCAGATTTCGTTATGCCTTGATCTTTTGTTTCATCATATATGATGTTTGCTTGAATATCTTAAAATGTGAAACATTCCCTTTAATAGATTCTGGGAGTTGTATGGACCAATCTGGAACCATTCAAAAGCTATTTAAAAACTCGGGGTTTAACCTTTTATCTTCCCAACTCTTGCTCGACCCAGGCGGGAGTAGGTTCGTCCGTCTTTTCGGGCGTTCAAGACAAATGCAAAACTAGGAGGGCCAATGCAGACACAAAGGACCTTTTTATCGTCGGTACAACTTGGCATTTAGTTCCTCGGAACGCATAACTCCACGCAAACAGAGAGCTGTAACAAGCTATTTAGGTAGTCAGTGTGTTCATGGGGTCGCAGCTGCAGAAATATGCAATGTGAGGAAAATTCAAACGCAAGATGGTCATTGCCACCCTCTCCAGAACAGATGAAACGATACCTAACTCCCGTATCTCTCATATTTGAACGCAATTTGGTTGCCAAGTGGTGAGTAATGGCGGTGAACAGTGTCTGTGACATTATCATATCGGTAGCAACTTCATCTACTGTGACGAGCGCAATCCAGGCACAAATTTCATAAACACCTTTGCATACCTACTTATCTTAAAAATACCCGTTCCAATGCTTGCATTTTCACACACTGCCTGGTATCCGTTGGTCACATTAGGTAAATTTGCCGTCGGAAACACACCTATAGCGACGTGACACAGAACTGTCGGAGGCTAAATATCGGACACATTTGAACAAGGCGAAATTAGCACATTTTGGCTCGCCAAAGAACGGACTACTGCGCTGACAAAAGCCCTGGTTATTGCATACGCACGGCCCAGGTGCGATCGCTAAAAAAACACGGGCAAGGCATTCCCGGGAATTTTAAAGGATTAAAGTCAGATATTGGCAGACCATGGACATCACGCTATGAGACCAACTGCATGGTGCAGGCGCATGCACCGTGTACAAACCTCCCATGCTGCCCAACATTGTCCGATCCATAGAGACGTCAGCAATTGATCGTGCGGCGACCAACGTCGTGCTTTTTGAGACCTATCTCGAACTGACCACAAATCGCAAATTTGTAAATTTTGCCGGTGGAAAAGGCCGAGCCCGCTCACCGCACTGCCGCTGACGATGAATTGGCTGAATAATCGTGGGTTTCTGCTGAAGGTCCTCCGCGCAGGGGATCTACTCCGCAAGCGCGTGCCTGCTCGCTCGGTGCGTTTCCGCTGAAGGTCCTCCGCGCAGGAGATCTATTCCGCAAGCTCGTGGCTGCTCGCTCGGTGCGTTTCCACTGAAAGTCCTACGCGCGGGAGATCTACTCAGCAAGCGCACGCCTGCTCCCTCGGTGTGTTTCCGCTGAAGATCCTCCGAGCAGGAGATCTACTCCGCAAGTGTGCGCCTGCTCGCTCGGCGGCCGAAGGCCGTGATAGCACGGGTCAGAAGAAATTCGGCTGAGACGGCGGCATGCGGACGCACGGGCGTTCGGATGCGTCCTACTCACCTGAACACATATGGGTTCAGGCGTGCAGAGGCGTGCGCTGTGAAAAGAAATGGCTAAATTTTCCACTTGCTGCGCCTAATGCGTGACATGTCAGTAACGGTTTAATCCCTAAGCTTAAAACGTGCAGCGAATCAAGGCACGAAGCAACTCCTTGCTCCTTGAATTCAAGGAGGGCATATCCGGCGATGTTGTGGGCGACGAGAGAGAGGGAGGGGGGGGGGGGGGGCATTTAACCATCAGCGGGGCTTGACCAGCCGTGCCCCCCTCCCGTTCGTTATCAAGACCGGCTACGCCTGTGTTTGGGTAATTTGGAGACAATACATGCACCTGCTCGGTGCGGTTGGTTTCACGTCGTTATCTGCTCGGTGCGGTTGGTTTCACGTCGTTATCTGCTCGGTGCGGTTGGTTTCACGTCGTTATCTGCTCGGGTCGCCGAGAAACGACATCAGTCCTGAACAAGCTCCGGAGCTGTAGAATCTCCTGTCAGCGCATGAGTGCGCGCACACCCCGCGGCGCATTGATTGACACTTGCGTGTACAAGCGTCCGTTCTGATCTGCATCAAAATATTCCCTGCGACACACAGTTTCCCGCCACGCGTTTTCAAAGAGGTATATCTCTTAATACTTCATCGCACAACTTTTGTCTGCGTCAAATGTTATTGTTCAAACTTGCTACAGAAATAGATAATAATAGTGGCCACAGTTTGTATCTCTCAGACTTTTCGGAAACTGCAAGAGCGCTGAGCTGG